GCACACTTGACTTGACTGAAGATGACAATGAGACCTACTTCTCGCCCAAGTCTGAGTCAGAGGACAACAACACCACGGATGGTGAATTTTTTGACTTTGCCGAGAGCTATATCGCCCTCGATGAGGAGATCAACCAGACCATGACCAAAGGTCAGAAGCGCCAGCTGGAAAAGGACATCTCAGAGGTACGAGCACATGATCAATGCCCCTGGAGTACCCTAAAATCTGAAAAGAACTCAAAACCACTTCCTCGTGGTTGTCGCACATTCCTCATGGAGATCTTCGCAGGCGCTGCTTTTCTGTCCAGCATGGCCAGCGGCATGGGCTTTGAGGTCAGCGCTCCAGTTGACATTGTGTTGGATGAGTCCAACCTCTTGGACCCAAAGGTTCGTCACCAGCTTGAAGCAGAGATCATCAAGGACGATCCCTACATCCTCACCTTTGCGCCCATCTGCGGACCCTGGAGCCAGTGGCAGAAATTGAATTGCTCTCGTAGTCCCCAGACAGCCGAGAAGCTCCTCGATGAACGAGACCTATGGTATCCCACTCTGAAGTGGATCTGCAAGATCATCAAGGGCAGGCTCAGAAAAGGTCGAAAAGTCCTCGTCGAGAACCCCTGCCATTCTCAGCTTTGGGAAACACTTTGCTTTGACAAGCTGCTCCAAGAAGAACTCTATGACGAGGAGACCGGCAACTACCTGGAACTAGTCCGAGGTGATCAATGCCAATTTGGCCTCATTGACTCAACCAATGGATTCTTGCATCTCAAGCCCACAGGCTTCGTCACTGCCTCTGATCCCGTCAAGCAGCTACTCTCCAAAAGATGCTCGGGAGATCGTGTACACTCACCTTTGGAAGGTGGACAACGAACCAAAAGAGCTCAAGTCTGGCCACGTCAACCCTGCCAGGCAATCCTCAAGGGTTTCATCATGGAACTTGAAGAAAGAAGCCTTCACGCCGCCTTCGGTGGTGAATTTGAGGCAGAGATGGAAGAAAAACTTCATCCTCTTGGGCAGCTGGATGCAATCTATGATGAAAAAGGCATCTCCAACCACTTCACCACAGTCTACACGACTCCAGAAGAAGAACTTCAGCGTTTGGAGTCAATGGAAGAAAGAAACGACCTCCCTGATTCATCCTCTTTGGAAGCAACCCGCAGGAACAAGTGGCTCAAGGCATCCAGAGCTACCAGAGTGGCACTCCGCCAGCTGCACACTATGACAGGTCATTGCAGTACCTCATCTATGATCTCTATGTTGAGAACTGCTGGCGCAGCTGGTTCAACAATAGAAGCTGCTCGACACTTTGCCTGCGAGGTCTGCAAAAAGACTCAGAATGTCCAGACAGCCGACCGTGTCAAGCCTCCGAACAAGCCGACCTTCAACTTTGAGATCAGCTGTGACGCCTTTGAAATCAAGGACTCCAGTGGCAACAGGCACACAGTTCTATGTGTTGTGGACCTGGGATTTCTCTTTCACCAGGCATTCTGGGTAGCACCTGGAGGTGTTCCTCGAAGCAGTGTCTGTGCCCAAGCTCTACGTGATGGTTGGGTTCAATGGACAGGACCTCCAAAACAATGCCTGTTGGATCGAGGCGCCCACAACCGAGACAAGTTTGTTGAGCTTTTGAATGCCCACGGCATCGACATCCGCTTTGGTGGCCTTGAAGCTCCCTTCCAGTTGGGAAGAACTGAACGCCAAGGCGGCATTCTGAAGCGCATCCTGAAGCCCGTCATCCAAGACAAACAAGTCATTGGAGTTGAGGAGATCAAGATGGTCATCGCTGAAGCTGTCACGATCAAGAACAACCGGCTTCATCATCAAGGATTCACTCCATCCCAATGTGTCCTTGGCCGGCTACCAAGAGAGGTCTGTTCATTGACAGCTCATGATGATGATTTGGATCATTGGAGTATATTGGAGTCCATCAAGGCATAGAAGATCCGCTGGATGAGTTCTCACGTCAGCTGCAAATCAGGCAAGCGCGGCCAAGCAAGCTTTTGTTCAAGCCGATTCATCAAGAAGAATCAGGACTGCCCTGCTCCGGAAGTCAACACCACTCCGAGGGCCCTACAGGGTTGGAGACCTTGTCAGCTTTCATCGAAAAGGACGTTGGTTTGGACCAGGCCGCATCGTGGGAACCTCTGGTCGTGCAAACTTTTGGTTGGGGCACGGAGGAATAGTGCTGTCCAAACAACTTCTGGAACTGAGACCTTCTCGCAAGAGACGAAGGGAAGATTTTGAAGAACATGTTCAAGAAACACAACCCTTCTCAGAGGACCTAGATGTTCCAGCCCTTAGAGAAGATCAAGAAGACCTTCAACCAGGCTATGTGGAACTGCCTTTTGAACCAGGACCTTCACCATCGACTATGCCAGTGGCAACTTCCGGTGAAGAAGAAGAGCCAACGCCCTATGAGGTTCCTCATAACCTCCCTGCAGTTCCAGAAGAAGATGAAGATGTTGATTTGTAAGAAATTCCAGTTCCAGAACAACAGGAACAAGATCGACAGCTATCTGGCCAACCAGAATCTGAAGCATCACATCCACTGACAGTGCCAAACACTCCAATCTTGGCACCCTCAACATCTTTGAGGACCGCTCTTACCAGATCAGTTGATCAATTGGGCTATCCAAGGCCCGAAATCCGACCTCCACCTGGATTACAACTCCGTGAACGCTCTCGCTCACCTTTGAGAGAAGTGCCAGTCCCAGAAGATGATCGGGGACTTCTTGCTACGGCGCAAGAAGAGCGAAGATTCAATCGTTTCCTGGCCAAAAGATTCAAGAAGAAGAAACGCCAAGTTGGAGCTCACAGGGAGATCAACTTCAACACCTGTGACGCAAAGACTCGCCAGGGACTCATTTTGAGTCGAAAGAGATTTCACTGCGGTCAACGTCATCAAGCCCAACGACGTGAAGGACTTTCTCAAGAAGAAATCGCAGGTGAAGATCGTTCCAACCAGATGGGTCGATTCCGACAAGTCCGAAGTCGGAGAAGAGGAGCAGCTGAAGTCAAGACTTGTTGTCAGAGGTGACCTTGAGCATCATCCCTACAAGCTCAGGACAGAGAGTCCAACCTGCTCACAGTTGATTGTGAACCTTATCTTGGCACACGCAGCTTCTGCACGCCTCCAAGTACATGCAGAGGACATCAGCGCTGCGTTCCTCCAGGGTGTGAAGATTAACAGAACCTTGGTTTTGGCATTGCCTGCTGGTTGAGTCCCAGATGACAATGTGCCAGAAGGTTCTCTGCTTGTGGCGGAAAAGTCTGTGTACGGCACCACCGACGCTCCTCGTGGCTTTTGGAAGCGCCTTCATGAAGTATTGATTTCTTGTGGTTTGAAGCCAATTCCATCGGAAGCTGCTGCCTAGCTGGAGAGATTCATGGTCTTTTGGGCACCCACGTGGATGACATCCTGTGGACAGTGCAGCAAGCTTATGGATGAAGCCATGACCTCAGTTCAGGAACACTTCCGCTTTGGCAAGATCGAAGGTGACGAATTCAAGTTCTGCGGAAGGCTCATCAAGCAGACTGAGGAGGGCATCCACCTTTCAAGTCCAAATGTCACGGATAGTGTGAAGCCCGTGTTCATTCCACAAGATCGACGAGCCCTTCGTGCTGAACGCGCCACTGATGTGGAGATATCTCAATTGAGATCAGTGCTAGAAAACATCTCATGGTTTGCAAGGACCTGCCGACCAGACCCGGCGTTCGCCGTCAATCAGCTGCAATCTGTTCAGGCAACTGCCCGAGTGCAGGACCTCATCGAGGCCAACCGCTTGCTGAGCTACTCCGTCAAGACCAAGCACAAGGCCATGCTGTTCAGCAAGAACGGGCCGCAGCTGTCAAGCTATATGATCCTCTCCGTGACGGACGCAAGTCACGGATCCAGCTTCGCTGACTTAGGCAACGGCCGCCTTGGAGGAAATCGATCCCAATCGGGAAGGCTCCTGGTCCTAGCCCCAAGCAACTTCATGCAAGATGGAAAAGGAGTGGTCTCGCTCCTATCATGGTGTTCAACCACCATCAAGCGCGTCTACAGGAGCACCATGCAATGAGCGTGCAGCTTGGTTCCGAAGAAGCCGAACACCTGAGGCAGATTTTCTTTGAGATCAAGAACCTCAATGACGGCAACAAGGGAAAGGAGAAGTTCATCAAGGCCAGCGACTCCATGTCCATTGGCTGGCTCACTGATTGCAGGAGCCTCTATGATCACTTGTTCCAGCCTGGAATGAGTGAGGTGACGGACAAGAGGTTAGCAATAGACCTTCACTTCGCCAGGACGTATGGCGAAAGCTGGGAGAGGAAGCTGGAAACCCATGCTTTGATGACGCTCCACCTCGTGAAGGAAACACAAAGGTTGCATGGGTGAGCACCCTGACGATGGCAGCCGATGCCTTGACGAAGAAGATGAAAAGCCCGCAGCTGGAGATGCTGGTAACCGCTGGCCAGCTTGCTGTGAGCTTTGTAAAGCTGAGCGGTTTCAATGAAAAGAAGAATAACGAATGTGAAAGCCATTTTGAGAACATGATGCAATCATGAGCCCTTCATGGAAACCACATGTAGTGACATGCTGTGAACTCGCCATCACCGATGGCTCAAGCTGTGCGCCGTGAAAAGGTGCGATCTATGTCCGCGCAAGCCCAGTTCGAACACTTTGTATAGAGCACTGTCTCACGGCGGCGCTCTCTCATGGTGGCACTTTCTCATGGTGGTTTTCACTCATTGTCTCTCACTGTGGTCAAGTATGATGAAACTCTTGCACCGATGCTTCCATTGTCATGTGTATCACGCATGTTCAGCGTGCGCATGCAAACAGTTTCTTTTCACTGGAAGTCCTGAGCACGCGGTCCATCAGGTGATACACACAGGGGCGCCTAAGCTCTTCGGAGCTCATGGTCCTTGAATACAAAGTGTAGCCCCAACCTGTAGTGTTGGGACATTTTCATACTGGCGAATTTCCTTTGACGCACGCTTTGGCCAATAATTGGGTCTTGGCTATTTGGTCTTCCCCTGCAAATGTCCACAGAAGTCTAGGAGTCTAGGGCTCACCTTGTCACACAACAGCACGGACTCCAAAACCATGTGGCTCTTGCTGGTCACAGAGAAAAGCTGAAGGTCTTCATCCAAGAAGTGTTTCATAATCTGCGTTTGCAAGGCGTACATGCCAAAAGCGTTTTGCTTGAATTCACTGGCCGCTGGTTCGGGGAAGGCGTAGTGGTCTTTAAAGTCTGTAAGGAGAGTTTCAATCTTGTAGTTGAGTTTGAGCATCAGAGCTATACCTGAGCTGCGCAATGTTTCCTGTGAGACGCATATGGACACATGTTGTGTAAAGGCCTGTGTATAGTATCACATGAAATATCATACACACGCCCATAGAAAATCACACCAAACAAGAAGAGTCGCGACGGTGTAGTTGAACTCCTTCGTTCCTGTGTCGGCTCCATACTTCTAGCATGGGTCTTGCAAGGTAACGTATCTCGGCGGCTTTGCCGCGTAACTTGGGGAAGCCACCCCGGCGCACAAACATGCTGAGTTTGTTTCAAGTAGCGAAAACGCACAGGGACTGGATTGCGGTTATACCAAGTTCGAATCTCTTGTGGTACACCAGCAAGATCAGTACAGACAGAAGTAATCCAGGTCCCCAGTCAAGGCGAACAACAGGCCAAAAATCCCTTGGGCTAAAGGTTTCCCAGCGCGAAGGGATTCTGCTGAACCCTGCGGATACTTGAAGGAAGGGTTGAAATCAAAAGTTCCACACAAAAGGTTGGAACAACCGCTACTACATATATATATATATATCTATTTAACTAATAGTGAGAAAAGCAACCAACCAAACCAACAAACATAGTACGTGTTTACGTATCTCACACAAAAATTGCAATGAATTCAGGCAACGCTTTTCCCTTGTGGTCTCGGTCAGGCCATTGGCCAAGCCAAAGCCAATAAAATGACCACTGGAGGACTCGGAGGGCTGAACCCAAGCTACCATCTGGAAACGACCCTTCACAGATCTTGTCCCAACAGGAGTAGGTGTAAAACAACTTGGACCGTGTGGTCCCTGTGCCCACCAAGCTGAACCATGAGAACACATTCAGGAGTTTGGTCCAGGCCTTTCCGATTCCGACCACAGGAACCCCATCGCCGTGGAGAGCGATGGGGACGGCGTACCGCCGCCAGTGCTCTCGATGCAATACAGGGTGGTCGTGAAGAAGCGGATGGTTGACAGCGGTTTCCCAAAATGTTTCAAGGTTGGACTGGGCAAATGCTTTTGAACCATGTGGTCTGGTACTCTGCAGCAATGGTTGCGAAAAGCTCGTGAGGTAGAAGCAGGGATTGGTTCTGCGCACCCACCGGGCTTTTGAACTTTGCATTGAAAAGGTAGGGCTGCGGTGCCTTGCTGATGTTCTTCGTCCTTTGCATCAAATCTAGGCGCATTTTGTTTGGATATGCGCCATTGCTCCCAATGCTTGCCAAGGCCTTCAGGTCACTGGCTATGTGCTTGTTGGTGTGGTGCTTCTCCAAGTCTTCTAGTGCCAAAGCAGCAATGGGGTGGCAGCGTTGAGGTGAAAACTCCCCCCAAGTGAACAATGTCAAAAGAAAGCTGATGAGTGGTGCCACCACCGGATGATTCTTCCTTTGCTCGGGCTGCTTTGATCCTTTGCTGTTGGCCGCCTTTCCGCTTCATGTGGGTGAAACCGAGAAATTAAGGTAGGGTGTTCAGGTACTACACTTTAACTGCGCATTCCACAGTGCCAGGTGCTTGTGTTTTTGGTAGCGTGCACGAACAAGTTGGCATTGTTGATCAGGCTATAATGAATTGACTCTGTATCAACTGCAGGTGCTTGACAAAGCTTATGGAGGAAACATTCAAGAATGAAAGGTTACAACTTGAGAAGCGCTGCTGTTGACATGGTTTACAAATTGACGCAAGTCTTTGACTGAAACCACCATGAGAGGGAACCTTGAGGGACTTATGAGAGAACCATGAGAGGGAACCTGGAGGGACTTATGAGAGAATGAGAGAGAGAGATAAGGGAGAAATTTGAGCTCAAGGAGAACATTGAATGAAACTTGTGGGAGACAAGGGCCAAAAAGGTCTCTCAAAAACCATGGAAATGTCTCTCAAAGGTTTCTTCAAACCTTTCCAAAAGCTTTCTCTCGGTCACAAAGAAGTTGGCGCTGCAAAGGTCTTTTGCCGATCCTTCTATGCGCGCACCGTTCACACACAGGTCTAGCTGGGGCACAGCCAGGGTTACCAAACATATGACATAGACATATACAAGTGTTTACTATGCACAAAAATATATCTACGTATATTCTATTTTTGCTGAAATCTGCTGAAACCTTGCCTTCACTACAAAAGTGCAAAAACAGTTGAACAAACTATAGATACTTCTATATAGATATATGGACACCTCGGCTTGTCCCAGGGTCTGTGTGCCACACACAGTCTTTCAAAAGGTGAGCGCTCAGGATGTCAAGTCATCAGTTGGACTTGGCCCTCAACTTGGCCTTGGAACTCTCCACCTCCAAGTTCAACGCCTCCACGTGCTTGGCGGCTTCAAACACGCACGCATCGAAATTCTGCTTGGTCAGCGGCTTGTCATTGGGCAGTTCCTTGAAGAGCTTCACGTGGTTGATGGATGCCAAATCTTGCTGACAGGCATTGTAGTGGCCACGCAAAGCCTTGCCGCCATCAGTCAGCTTGGTTCCATGCTTCAGGATCTTCAGAGCATCACGCGACAAGCGCTCAAGGGCTTTGCTGGCACCATCAAGCAACTCATTGATGTTGCTTGGAAGCTTCTTCTTGGGATCCTTGGCCATGTCCTGTATAACTCAAAGTTGGAAAGTGGTAAGCTATTACATCTCTTATATAGGGGTGAACAAAGGTCGAATATATACTAGAAAAGGTCCAGGGTTGCGCACGGCAGAATCAAACATATACATTGTCCCCATCTAATATATGCCAATGAGTCCTTGATGTCCTTCTCGGTGTGATCAAAGGTCCAATCCAAAGAAGCCATCAGATCCTTCAAGGCACCAAACTCCTTGGCGCCCGTTTTCACCTGGTCTTTGCCGCCGTGCTCGAAGGTAGATCCACGCTCCTGTCCCACAAGCATCTTCCTGTGCTCGTAGTACTTGCGGCCATCATCGCCTTCGAATTCAACCACGTCCCCTTCTGCGAGCGCATTGTTGAAGGCCTAAGGTTGCCCAAGCAAACGCAAGAGCAATAGGCGCACACACGCACATACTTGAGTTTGTGAGAGGAAACCTTGAGAGTTCACTCCATCCACTCATTCATTCATTCCTTCCTTCCTTCCTTCCTTCATTCATTCATTCATTCATTCAACCTTTGACCATTGTGCCAGCTTCGTTGTCGTCATTCTCCTCATTCTTAGGAGAAGCCGTGGCACTCTTGAGCTTGCGCAGGGTTTCATTGACACTCGGCATGGCTGCCGGCTTCTTCTTCACCTGTGTGGTGTCATCCACATTGGCCGCAGGGCGCTTGGAAGCGGCTGGCATGGTCCAAGGTCGAGACACACAAAGGTTTGGCTTCAAGGTTCAAGGACACTAACAAAAGGTTTCAAGATTGTCATCAGGTTCCAACAAAACATTTTCAAGGTTGTTGTCAGATCACAACATAAAGTTTTAATGTTGCCAAAGTAACTTTCGAAACTTCGAATCGAGCATTCGAAGTTTCATTCGAAGTATTTATTCGAAGTTTATAATTATGTATAAGTTGAAAACAATGGTATTTACAGTGTTTTTGATATACATCAAATAAACTTCGAACAAAACTTCGAATAGATATTGAACAAACTTCGAACAAACTTCGAACAAACTTCGAGGGAGTCCACTTCGAAGTTTCGAAGAGCTTTCGAACAAACTTCGAATCAGTCGTTTCCATATTTGAAGCACTCATGAACAAATCATTGTAGGAGTAAGATCACGCCGACAAACTCCCCCAATGTCCCTCAAGGTTCTCTCAAGGTTCTCTCAAGGGTTTCTCAAGATCTCGCAAGAGTTCTCTCAAGGTTGTCTAAAGGTACAGGACTGCTGCGCAACTCTTCGTGCAACTTTCATCGTTTTCCACACTGCGCCGGATCCATGTTGGCTGGAGGCAAAAAAAACCATAGAGCTACAGTGCTACACAATCCTAAAGCAAAGCGCTCATCTAAAGTCTTCCTCCAGGGCCTGGTTCTTCGATCGAACTTGTAGCTCTCACTGTCCATCGCGTGTGACTTGGCGCCTTTTGCGTCCAGATTTGGCCTCACTCTTTGGCTTGGACTTTGCCGTAGGAGCAGCGTCAATGTCCATGGAGGAGCGGCCGCGGTTCAGGCTGGACGAAGTGGCGGAGGCTCGGGCATCCTCATGGAAGTGCACATGGACGACTTCTTCGCCAGGACCTCAGAGACCCTTGGAAGAGCTGGAGAAAGAGCTTCGCAAAAGGATCCGGATGAAGAGCCAGATTCATCCGTTGATTGAGGGAGAGAAGTTCACACACCTGAAGCGCACAAGGGAGATCTTCAGCAACGGAATCTTCATCAGCCCAAGGTCCAAGTACATCACCGACTTGCTGAAGATGTTGAAGCTTTTGAATTGCAACCCGGCACCTACTCCATATGTTCACAGTGATGTGAAGGAGGGTGGAAAGCTCAGTGAAAGCAACACGAAGCTGTTCAGAGCTGGAGTTGGCATTGCATTGTATTTGAGCTACGACCGGACAGACATTGAGTTTGCCATCTGGGAGCTCACCAAGGACATGAAGGATCCCAACGATGGGAGTATGACAAAGCTGCACCGCCTAGCTCGATACCTGCAGGGCACCAAGGACTATGGCATCTGGCTGGAGCGAAGGGGGGGCATCGCTACGTTGGTTGTCCACTCTGACACTGACTGGGCGAACTGCAAGAAGACACGAAAGTCGTGTGCCTGTGCCATGTTCAGTGTTGGAGGTTGCCTGCTCTACAGGTACGCCCGGAGCCTGCAGATGTTGTGTTTGTCCTCAGGTGAGGCAGAGTTCAATGGAGGAGTTGCAGCGTGTGCTGAGGGATTGTTCCTGAAGGAGATCTTCACGTTCGCAGGTCGCTGGACATCCCATCAAGATGGAGGTCTACCTCGATTCCAGCGCAGCTCGAGGAGTATTTCAACGGCAAGGTGTGGGGCGAATCCGCCATTTGGAGGTGAAGAGCCTCTGGGTTCAGGAGGCATTGCAGCGAAAGCTGTTCACACTGCGTGCAGTGCCAAGCAGTGACAACACAGCTGACTTCGGCACCAAAGCCTTGACGATCGAGCGATTCCACAAGTTGAGAGCCATGTTGAAGATTGGCAACTACGACGAGGTGATCCAGAAGGAGAAGGGCAATGTGAATGTGGTGAGTGCGGCTGGCCAGTTCAGCAAGAAGGCCATGATTGCTGCATTGATCATGATGCTGCAGCAAGTGGAAGGAGCAAGAGAAACAGATGAGCCCAATACTGAGAATGGCGCCCTCAGCCAGTGGATCTTCATGGATTTGGCAATTGCCTTCGGCTGGGTCCTCCTGATCCAAGCCATCATATTGGCAGGATTCCTCTGGCTGTTCGGCAAGATCAATGGGGGCTTGAGCATCCGGCTCGGAAAGACCGCAATTCAGGCTGAATGGATGCCTGAGAGATGGAGCAAGGTCTTTCACCTGGAAGGCCGCGACGTTTTCCATGTGGATTGCACACGCTCGAAACTTGCGCAGCGATCCAGGAACTATGACGTGCTACGTCTGTGTAAGAGCTGCCCAGCAGAAGGGCACGCCTGAAAATGCCTGTGAACACTACACCCCTAATGTATAGTTCAAGGGGGGTGCAGGCATATACATACATTTGATACGCGCAACCGCAGCCCTCATTTTGAGGTCACATCCTCCACAAAAAAGGAACTCATTGGAGATGGTGGCTCCTGAACTGCCTCACTGGTGCGGTTCACATCCAAAGTGGCACTGGGACGCTTCATAGACTTTGATGTAGTCTTCACCTTAGCCTTTTGGCTTGCTGTCTTGGCTTTGCTTTCATTGGGCTTGCTCTGATTTGCCTTTTTCTCTTTCTTCTTTTTTGCTTTCTTTTTCCGCAAATTTTCAACAGGACCTGACTCGAAAGCTTCCCAGCATGTCTTCCTCTCCACTGTCCAAGGTAGTTGGCGTGAGAAGGATGTGCCTTTCTTCTTGGTCACTTTCGATGGTGTGTCGGTGGAGCGTCCTGCACTACCCCCTTCGCCTCCCATCCATGGTTCCCCAAACTCCTGGTCATCGTCGGACTCCGGCCTGTTGACAATCTTCATGAAAAGCTTCTTTGGGCTGATCCTCAAAGCCGGTTTGCGTGGTGGTGGAGGTGGATCTGGCATAACAACCTTGATCTCAGGGTCTTTATCCATGAGCGGACCTGCAGGTGGTGCCTCCTGAGTCTCAGAGTCAGCCCTCTGTAAGCCCTTTCTTTTGCGTGGGGATCTTTGGCCAAATCTCGATACTGTTTCATAGCTGTTCTCACAATGTTGTCAACCAGGTCGACATAGTCTGAAGTACTTTGTTTCGAGAAGTTGCACTTCATTTGTTGGTCCAACCTTTCAATAGCAGTCTTGTTCTTCTTGGGTGGCAACATACTATTCGGCGCAATCTTTGCGTAGCGTTGAAATAGTGGTGCATGTTCTGACAAGAAGGTGATATCTGGCGCACTTTTCCATGAGAAAGTTGGTGACACGTGGAGCAGCTTGATCAAATTCCTGTCACCCTTCTCCTCCATGTACTTTGACAAGGGTTCCATCAAGTCTGTCACTCCTATGCTAGGGTCAGCGGATAGGCGAAAGCGAGGAGGGTCAACAGCAAACGCAACCCAGTAACCACACAATATAGTACCACGGTTCTTCACTGAATACTATTTAATTGCAGAGTAAGATCTCCTTCAAAATGCATGCAACTGCATGTGCTTGAGTAAAGAGGCGCAGGACGTAGAGGAAAATCACATATGTGTTTCGATGCTGTATATGCATTGAAGACTTGAAGAATGACATGGGTGAGTGTGAACTTCAGCCAGACTTGAACCACATAAGTTGTATACCCAATCTCACCAGCGCAAACTATATAACAAAGAAAAACACTGACTCTCAAGGTTCTCTCTCAATGTCCTCTCTCAGGGTTCTTGCTCTCAGTAGGTCCTCTCTCAAGGTTCTCTCAATGTCCCTCACTCTCACAAAGATCTCTCACAAGGTTGCTTTCGTTTCTCCCTCTCTCAAAACAATGACTGCAAGTTCTCTCCTGCGCAGGCTGCGTTTTGCGCAAGTTCAAAAACGTCTCGAAACAATCACCTAGTGAAAGAAAAGTATACGCTGTCAATCTCCAAGCGCGAACTGTCACAACTTATGTGTGTCAAGGGTTGTTTAACATATGTGTCTTGCAATGCTCGTTTGGAACAAAAAACGCATAGCTGAGAGCATTCGAAATGTTGATCAAGCTTCGAAGTACACCTTCGAAGTTTCAAGTAAACTTCGAAGTACACCCTTCGAAGTTTCAAGTAAACTTCGAAGTGCACCCTTCGAAGTTTCGACGAAGTTTGTTCGAAACTTCTTCGAAGTTTGGTCGAAACTTCGAAAGTTAAACTTTTGCGATTTAGTTCAAATTTTGGAAAATAGTTAAATGTTTAAAACTCATTTTAGTTAAATTTGTGAAAATAGTTAAAACATAGTTTTAACTATTTCTTACAAACTTAACTTTGTCGAAAACGATTTAGCTTAATAATTTAGATATATCTTAGTTTTAAACTAAGCCGGTCTATTGGGTACACCTTCAATGAAAGTTCCTGGAAGCTTTCTAACCCTGTCAACTGTGTTCCCCAACAGGAATGAATGATCTCCCAGCTTTGAGTTAACCAACTTGGTAGTGAGCCGTAGGCTGCGGCAAGCATTGATCAGCATGTTGTGGGTTTGCCTTGTTGTGGGTTCATTTTCATTCCTGTAGGTGATTGGTGAATACCGCAACTATTGACTGAAACTCATCAATTCTGGCACAATTAGGCGCAATTTGCCTTTGTTCCCTAATGGCACAACATGAACGAATCCAGTTGGGCTGTCGTTGCAACTAGCCAACGTACTGGTTTTGCAAATTTTTGTTTCTGAGTCGCTTGCTCTTGTACAGAAAGTCAAAGCTTTCCTCAGGAATACTTCCTCTCTTCACTCCATCTGTTCTCTCATGGTGATCTGGACGTGCTCATATTCAATGCACTCCTTACACCAATTGGCGTATGGCGTGTGTGTCAATCTGTGCCTTGCTTGAGTTGCTTCATCTGGCATTTTTGCAACACGTTATCCTAATGCTTCTCTAATCTCCTGCGCTTTTGCTTCACTCACCAAGCTTTTGGCATTCAACAATCCCATCCTTTTGTTGTGATTGAGGATCCTGGTGTAGACCTTTAGCTTAGAGCCACTGCCTGAAATGCCGAGAAATGAACAAGCTGCCCTCAGAGTTGCCAACGATGAACCCTCAGGACTTTATTTAGATCCATTG